TATTGGGGATCACTTGCAAGGTGTACCCTGCAAGACTGTCCAAGTCAAGCTTTTTTAAGAGCTTTTCTATGGGCTTGGATGTTGGACAATCTTGGATTTGCAAGAGAATGTGTTGAGAAAAAGGATTACATTCCAAAGATTTCCGAAGCAAACCAGGGAAAGCGTAGACATGTACTGTGTACAGTTAAGCAAACAAATTAACATGTCAAAGCAATATAAGGGAATCTGCAGCATTTGTGTCTGAAGCTTTCTGGATGAGATTTGCAACTTGCACTTAATGATTCTGGATTCAGCCTACAAAACCCTGATTCTGGCTGGAATGACACGTCAATAAGATCTGGATCTTCTGGGCGGCTTGCATTCGATTAATACAAACCAGCTGCTTAATACACAAATGAAAGATTTGAGGTTGGTGCCTATTGACCTCTCCTTGTGGGTCTTGGTGGAACTTTATTTTTCTCTATATGTTTGACTGACTGATCAGTTGGGGTGGTCGATAGGGGTCGATGCAAGTTTTCAGTGGTTGGGAATGGCCATGCTGCTTTCGAATGTAGGAATGCTGACAAGGATCCTGGGGTGCTTTTTCGGGATTCATACGCGTATCGAAACCACCTACAGCCGGGAAGATTCACTTAGAACCTGAAAACCAGTGGGTTGTAGAGGAAAGTAGTCTTCCAGTCTGGTCGATGCCATCAGGTTTCCACCTGTTTTCGGTGTACTCAATGATTGTGGAGGAAGGCGTTTGGCTTTTTCGCCAGGTGATCCACCGGCGGTTTCAGCCCACCGGTCTACTGGTCGACGACGGAACGGCGCGCCCAAGACTTGGATACACTCCCGAGTCCACTCACATAGGCCCTGACGTCCTGGCCCCCTGGAAGATGGCTTCCTCAACGAACCAGTGGTTTTCAGGGTCCATGTTAGTCTTCCAGAGTGTAAACACATATTCCCCGGACGGGGACTCAGCCATCGGGAAGATATAACTCACCCTAAGCAAAACCAGGAATAGGGAGACCTTTGGCTCGTCTGGCCTTCTTTTGCTTAGCAGTCTGCGCTGCTAATGAGTTCTTCACTGGATTTTGGTGGAGAAGCCCTGTCCATCCGGATGAACCGCCTGAACTCTGAATCTGAACTAGCAATCCCTTGAGTATCTGAATATCTGCTGAATCAATTCAACCTATGAAAGAGGGAGATAACTGAAAGCAAGCGCTGAAAACAAGGCCCGCCGCCCTCCACAAAGTCATAGGATTCATTGGAGAATATCAACATATACAAATCCACTGAAGTTGCTTGCTGGCACCAGGAGTCCGCTCATCCAAATAAGGTCTCTTCTCTTCGTGAACACATCTACCGGAAACATGTGAAGCCTTTCCTGGAGACCCAATTCCGCTCGACGCTGGGTGCTACATGGCTTCCCCCCTTCCCCCCGCGTGCGGAACAGTGGAGAACAGCAGCGACACCTCCCAATGTGGTGCAAAGAGAGAAGACTCCAAGCACCATTCCTGCGCACGTCTCACGGGGATCGTTTCGTTACTGGAGTACCCCTTCATGTTGACTGGGCAAATCAAATATCAAACATGCATCAACAAACATTAGGGTCTGGTGCTGGTCATCTGGGGCCGGGGCCACCTCTGGTTTCTCAACAAAGCTGTAGAGGATGAATTTGTGCTTTCTCTCGAAGTGGAGGTTTCTGTTGAGAATGGCATATCAGTTCCCAAGTAACCCATTGGCAAGTAGCCATGAGAAGCACGTGAAAAGGGACCTTCAGGATGGATTACCATACCTGGATGGGTGTGGAATTGAAATCATGGAATCATCTGATCCGACGACCTCTTGTGCAACCACGATTGCATCTGAGTTCGACATCTCTTCACATCTCCGAACTGGGTTGCAGGCCAGGCTCCCTCTATCACTCCAAGTGGTCCGACCGTGTAGGACCTACCTCCCATGATCCTTAACCGGTTCGACCGTGCGAAACAAAGGCCTGACCTGGCCAGGTATCCCCCGTTCATGCGCTCCTTCAACCCAGGAAAAACCGGTCTGCAACCACGCGGACCACGCGCACCACGCGATGCCCGTGCTTCTCACACGGTGCGTCTGCGTCCTCCGAAGAGGTCTTAGGGAGGAAGGTCCCACGGTGGCGAGGTACGAAGTGTTGGCACACGGGCCTGAGCAGTCTCATCGTGGCCATAGGGTGGAGGCCATGGGCTACTAAGGTGGAGGCCATGGCTACTAAGTAGGTGGAAGCCATGGCCACTGGCTGAGGCAGGTTCCGGTTTTGGGTCAAAAACCAATGGTGGAAGGCTTCTGCTGGTGGAGACAGTCTGGTGAGCTCCTTGGACTATGGATCTAATATTCACCTGACTCTAGTTTTTGAGGGTTCCAGGCTTACCATGGGTTTATCATATAATATATAATCATGATATTTGTGCTTGACGGCGGTAGATTCCCGAACGGGGAGACGCCTGCAGCAAAGAGAAGGGACGCGCCCGCTTCCAGATTGTTTCCTGGGAAATACCTGAGAATGGGGAAACGAAAGCCAATGGGAAGTTCACGTTGGACCCACGCGCTACTGGAAACGAGTCCGACTTTGAGTTCAAAGGAACTTGTGCAATGCATTTGATATATCAGCAGCTTTTCTCAAACGAGGCGCCCCCACTGACGCAAGTGATGTCGACACAGGTTCGTATTGCATCGTTTGCATCGCGAGCTCATCAAAAACGACCAAAAAACTAAATTGAGCAGTTCGCATAAACGATTCAGCCTAGCCTATCGGCTGGCTTTCGTAATGCAGTAACTGATCTTTCCACCTGGGGAAACCATAGGTAAACCATGGTAAACCCATCACCCAGAAAGGTTGCGGTTAATCCACTGACAGGGTTGGGATTGGACATGATAGGACCATGGCCATGACCCTCTCCACAGACCTTCCCCTCAACCTCTGAGCTGAGGAACAGGAAGTACGGACCAAAGTCTCAGAAAGGACCCAACCCGTTTGCTAGGGTTTTGGCCCTCACAACTAGGGTTTTGGACGTGTACACTCCCACTCACTAACATGGAAGGACCTTAAATTCACTTCAACCACCCTGTCAAGCAAATCCGCTCTTTTCTGCAGGCCCCCAGGCCCCGGGATATGGCGAAATCCCTTGCCATGGTCGAGCTGTGGGCCAATCCGAGTAGTTCATATGCCACATGGGAAGAAACAGCCCTACGTTCCTGGCAATTTAGGCACCATCTTACCTTCTGGCGAACAATCCTCTACTTGGGGCTTCCAGCCTTGAACACAAACCCACACCTAGATCTCCCGGCTGGCACATCCGTTTCAATGTTGCCTGCGGGAGCACATGACAATAGGGGACTTGGACCATGAAATCGGCAACAAAAAAATCAAAAACTGTGAGTTGCTAGAAGGGCTGGGCCACTCTGTGAGCGAACATGGCCACTTTCTAGTCAGAAGTGTGACATGACCAGCTTCAACCTACACGGTCATCTCAGCACTGCTCTCCATCCAGCCAAGGCCACAGGTGGTTCCTGTGGGGTACTTGCCGGAGTCAAAGAAAAACGAGCGATCCCACCAGAGCTGATCAGGAGCTCAGCTGACTTGGTCAATTCATGATCCCAGACTTGTCATGAGGCAAGGGAGTGACCTGTCGGCTTGTCGGCTTGTCCTTGTCAGCGAGCTGCATACCCCAGTTTTCTGGTTCAGAAAGGGATACCTAACCAAAACTTTATGAAGCAGTCGGCTGAGATGCGACTGCTGCGTTAAACAAACAATGCAAAACGGACTAACCAGCTTCAACTCAGCACATCTCTCAGCAGGTCAACTCCTTTTTGGAGTAACCTTTTAAGGCTATGTGCCCAAGCACACATACCAAAAAAACATACAAAAGCACGGAATTCCCACCCGAGTTGCTCCGGCAGGAAGGTTTTTTTGCACCAGGCGAGCGCCTGGTTGCATTAATTCCATCCTCCCAGAAGGTTGTTGCAGCAGGGGCAACGAAAATTCTTTTGGGAAAAGAACCGCTTTTGTGCACAGCACTTATGAAAATGATGGCCACAGGACAATCGGACGACATCAGAACTCCCGTCTAATGCATCCTGACAAATTGTGCATGGTTCCACCATGCATACATTATGAGCCACCTTCGTCGCTTCGAGGAATTCATCCACTACATCATATCCTTAGAATTGCTCAGAACCCTGCAAGAAAGGACCAAAGGACCAGGCCAAAAGCACTCAGAAATCATTTCATTGCATTGAATGCCCAAGCATGCCTAAGCAACATCTGGGGGTGCAATATAGAGACCCGTAGATCAAATTGGTTGGCAATTTCACAAACTGGGACTCCCCCATCTTGATCAAACAAACTTGTGGATAGCAGCTGGGTCTCTTCGGATGGCCAAATTGAAGAAACTTCTCTGCCGAGGTGTTAGCTGCACGTCGATCAGCATCTGGATCAACACCTTCCCATCCTGCAAAAACCGCTGCCCGGGTGCCAAAAGGTCGAGACAAGACACATTGCCACCTCTCGAATAACCACACGACATGCAACTCTGTCCTTCCAAGCCTTTTTGCCCCAAAGCTCCTGCCATGTTCAACATGACATCACTGTTTGTGTGTGTGTGTCAACCCCCGTTTCCAGGGGCACTGAATTTTCATTATGCAGTTTCCACGCAGGGGCGTGCAGCATCTGTGGTCCACTGCACGCAACGAAGCTACGACCACAGATGGGAAGGGATCAAGGACGCTTGATCCTGTACCTGCAGAATAACACATTGACACCAATGGTCCACCCTGCCGCTGTTCGTTGATTTCATGGTTCTTCATGCCTCCACCCCCC